GATCTCGATAAAATAAGGCCAAGGTATTTCCGAGCTCTATAAGATATCTAGTACCAGACATCATTGCTGTCGAATACATATTACGAATGTGAGGGAAATTTGATGTATTTGCTTCTGGACTGAATTCGATCGTATGTGCCAAAATTCAGGTCTTTGGACTTATATTGGCCATTTGGTGCACAATTAACCCAAAATCGGTTGAAGATATATAAATAAACCGATAAATCTGAACCGATCTAATTAAAATTCGAAGGAGGTATTTCCGAGCTCTATAAAATATCTGGCACCAAACATCATTCTTGTGGGGTGCATATTACGAATGCGAGTGACTTAAACACCAAATCGGATGGAACATATATATGGCAGCTTTAGCTATATCTTAACCGATTTTAACCAAATTAAATATACTTGCTACTAGACTGTATTCCGTCGGATGTGCCAAAATTCAGGTCATTTGGACTTATATTGGCCACTTGGTGCACCATCAACCCGAAATCGGTTGAAGATATATATGGGGGTTATATTTAAATCTGAACCGATCTTGATAAAATTTGGTAGATGTATATCCGAGCTCTATAAGATATCTGGTACCAAATATCATTGCTGTCGAATGGATATTACGAATGTGAGGGATTTTGACACCAAATCGTATGAAACCTATGTATGGGAGCTATAGCTATATCTGAACCGATTTTCTCCGAATTCTATGTATTTGCTTCTAGACTGAATTCGGTCGTATGTGCCAAAATTCAGGTGATTTGGACTGATATTGGTGATTTTGTCCACAATTCTACCGAAATCGGTTGAAGATATATGGGAGCTATATCTAAATCTGATCCGATTATCACCAATTTCAATTGGGTTTGTCCTTGGGCCAACCAAATATTGTTTGGAAAAATTCATCTCAATCGGATAATAAATGCGACATGAATTTTGTTCACAAAAATACATGGACAGACCGACGGACGTAGGGACTAGTGAAAGAAAGTGATTCTATGAAGATCCTCAAGGGTAACTATGGGTATATCTCGCTTCCTTCACGTTGCTACAAAAAATGCACAAAGACCTAATACCCTTGCCACTATGCGGTGTAGGGTATAAAAATAACTACTACAACTGTCCCTGCGTAGGTCACTGATAAACCATAGCATCAACTGAATCTCTGGCCTTCATTTTAAAAAATTCTCGAATCCTAATCCCTAAATTTTAGATCCGCCATCCATTCAAGAACCACATCAAAAGAACAATTATTCCAATGACAAAGCAAACACTCCAAGAATGAAAAAAAGTCACAATATTTGTAATAAAAATTACCACAATAAAAAAAATAAGAACAATAAATATAGAAAATCAGTAACTGAACAGGGAGTCAATACACACAAAAACAAAATTGAATCACGGCCATAGGTGACAACAAATATCAATAAAACAGAAAAAAATATTAATAAATTAAAAGCAAAACTAATATAAAATAAATATCATTTAGAAAATATAAACTCAAAATCAATAAAAAAAAATAATACACAACAACACCACTATTAATGGTAATAATGCCAGGCAACAAAGTCATGAACCAACCAACGAGCAGCAGCAGCAGCAGCCCAATAGCCAGCAAGCCAAGCCATCTACACAAGTCTCTGGCTTTGCATACAAATTAGAATTTAGAGAATTCTAAATATTCATTGGGTGTTATTTTTTTTTTTTTTTTTTTTTTTTTGTCAAATACTCCAACAACACCAACAAAACTCTCTTATATGGAAATATTTAATAATTTGTGGTAGAAAGGTACGATTTGGCTACAGAGATATTGTTGGCTAGCATGTCACATAAAGATAATTTATAATCGAATAAAGCTCGCAGGAAAAAATGCTGAAGTCTTGCAAATTTGTCATATTTTTAAGAGCTACCAAAAGAATGAAATGACAATAAAAAAATTGTTGGCCAAACTGAGATGTGTAACACACCAATTTTGATCGCTGAATAATTTAATTAAAAAATTATATTCATCATAGGCGATTGATCCCCTCCTTAAAAGGTTATGCAATTCGTAGCTTTTTATGGGCAATCATTTGCTTCCTATTTATTTTATTAGCATTTAAATTGATTTTGATTTAAAGGACTGGAGTCGTTGGTATGAATGGTAGGATTAAGGGGACCTTAGGGGCCTGGAACTGCAGTGCTTTCTCAAACTCGATATTGCTTTTAGCTTTTCTCAATATTTTAGTAATTAAAAAGAATATGAAACAATTTGTTGATCATTAGTGTCATAATGCAGTGGCATGTGCCCAAGTATAATACAGCTTGGGATTCTCTTACGCATTTTCATTTCAATTCTCTTATTTCCGCAAGTTAGCGATCAAAATAAAGTAGTCGCTAACACATAGCAAAGTGCTTTCACCTTTAAGACATTTCCTCTTATCTAAAAATGGCCTAAATATTTTAAGAAAATTCGAATTATCCGAAATTTTATTATGTCTAGAAGGTAAGTACTCCACTCCCCGAAAACCTCAACCCAGCTTCGACTTGAATTGTTGATAAAACCCCAGCAAGTCGAAAATTAAAGGCCTACCAAATATAGGCGTTTTCATTTCTATGGTGTAGTACTAGTAAAGGAGTGCTATCTGAAACGGACTGGCACAAATTCTGCAGGAAAGTGGTTGCTTTCAGTTCGTTCCAGGATATAGTAAGATGAAATAGACTAAAGCACAATTGGAAACAAGTGAAAAAGCTGAGCCGAACTTTGAATACCGTCCAACAATTTGAAAATTTTCAAAAAATAAAATCCTTTAAAAATTCTGATAAAATCTTAAAAATACCGAATGTAGGAAGCCAACGTTATATTAGAGTATATACGAAAACGTGGACTTGCATAGGATGTTTTGTCATAAGCCATTACAATATTCAAATACGAAACTTGAGAAAAAAATAGTGTAGCTAAAAATATCAAAATACCGAATATATGGGGGCTATACGAAGACCTGGACCTGCATAGACAATTTTCTGTCATAGGCTGTTGTATCCATTACGAACTTCAAATACCAAATTTGATACAATTCTGGGGAATAAGGTCGATAAAATCATCAAAATACCGAATATCGGGAGATTCCGTTATATGAGGGCTATACGAAGACGTGTGCCTGCATATTCCATTTTATGTCACAGGCTGTAGTACCCATTATGAAATACGAAATTAGAAATTATTCCGGTGAATATTGTATTTAAAATCGTCAAAATACTGATGTATGGGGCTTATACGAAGACCTGGACCTGTATACACAATTTTCTGTCACATGCTGTAGAACATATTATGAACTTCAAATACGAAATTTGAAAAAGTTTCGGTGAATTTTGTACCCAAAATCGTCAAAATACAGGGAGGTAGTGATATATGGGGCCTATAAGAAGAACTGAACATGCATAGACAATTTTCTGTCACATGCTGTAGTACCTATTATGATTTCAAACAATTTCGGTGAATTTTGTACCCAAAATCGTCAAAATACCTACTACAGGGAGGTAGTGATATATGGGGCTTATACGAAGACCTGGACCTGTATACACAATTTTCTGTCATAGGCTATAGTATACATCAAATACCAAATTTGATACAATTCTGGGGAATAAGGTCGATAAAATCATCAAAATACCGAATATCGGGAGATTCCGTTATATGAGGGCTATACGAAGACGTGGGCCTGCATACGCAATTTTTTTCATTGACTGTAGTACCCATTAAGAATTGTAAATAGGAAATTTCAAACTATTCCGGTGAATATTGTACCTAAAATCGTCAGAATACCGAATACAAGGAGGTACTGATATATGGGGGCTAAACGAAGGCGTGGACCTACATGGCCAATTTTCAATACCAAAACTTCTGCAGACACAATATACATTTGAGTAAAATTTTATCATCCTACTTCATTTCGTTCGAAAGCTAGAGTGATTTCCACAGGCGGACAGACGGACGGACATCGCTGGATAGACATTGAATTTTATGCTGATCAAGAATATAAATACTTTGTGGGATCTAAAATGTATATTTCCAGGTGTTACAAACGGAATAACAAACTTAATATACCCTCCATACTATGGTGGAGGGTATAAAAATACCATTCTTTGAGGCGGTTAGTACACATGTACCTCGTTTAAATTTTAAAGTAAAGGCCATAAAAGAACTGGAAAATGTATATTCATCCAGTCCGGAAGGAAAGGAACTTTCCTGGACCGGTCTCATTTGTGGGCCTACCAAATATTGGCAATTTCATTCTTATGGTGTAGTAATTTGTCTATAAATATCAAACCGCCAAAATTGCAGGAGTTCAATCTGGAATGGACTGAAGCAAATTCTGCAGCGAAGTGGAATTTTTCATTTCGTTCCAGGACGAAGTGCGATTAGGAGGTACTGGAAAAATCGGCGGAAATAAAAAGTACAGTAGAAAACATTGGATGAGGGAGCTATGGGTCATTGGAGGCGTGGAGAGAGGCTCAAATAAATACCTTTATTGTCCCAGTGGAAGAAAGAAAGGGGAAAAAACCTTCACCGTTGATTATAAATCATATTCTTCCAGAAACTATTATATCAGATGGCAAGAAAATATGTTAAAAAAGTAGATGATTTTTATAAATTAATATTGGTCCCCGTTTGTGTACAGCCTACTGACGTAGCCCGATTTTGCAATGATTTTAGCGGCCCAACCAACAAAAAAATGAGATTTGCCTTAAAGTGCAAAAAATTCACTATTTCTGGGGCAGAGTAAAAATTTTAAATAAAAGGAGACTTAAAAAATTGTAAAAATATTTTTATGTCTCGATTTCTTAACAATGACACAATGTTCGAAACGAATGAAATTAAAATTAAATTTTAATAAAAGAAATCCCAACAAACATATTTCATTGCAAAATTTTCTTCATTTCAATGATAAGAAATCGTTAATTATTTCACCAAAATGCACAAAAAGAAAAAAACAATTGTACACATAAAAGGAATTTAAAAAATGTTTTGGTTTTTTTCTTCATTTTATTGTAACACTGAATGGATGGCGCGATTGGCAGAGAGCAATCACTGCACCTGTACATGGTTGGTTAGGCATGCGCAAAGCAGCAATGTGCACGAACGTGCAGTGACTGCGACGAAAAAATGTGTGTGCAAAAAAAAAACACACACCTGCACTGCCTGCCTGCTACCGGTGTAAAGTGTTCATTGACGTCGACGAATTTAGTTAAATTTTTCTTTTTTTGCTTTCGTTTAAATATTTTGATGAGTGAATGCATTTTTTGCTGTACATTAACATTTGAGGGGTCTCTTTCGGGGAATGGAAGGCGTATTGTATTTGTCATGGAGATTGAAAACAATTGCAATAAAAATATAGGAATGCAATTAAATCATGGTGGAGAATATCAAAAAATCAATGGAGGATATCTCTAATGATTTTAGAGCTTCATAATTTTGATAAAAGTTCCGATGCGAACAAATTAAACGTTGTTTTCGACATTCCTTATGCATCTTGGAGGGGTTTCTTACAACAGCCTATATTAGATTTGACACCGTTTTTTGCACGTCTGTTCTTAAAAAAGTAACAAAGTTAGATAAATCTTTATTGAAAACGTTACTGGCTATTTTACCTATGGATTTCTTCCATAAAATAGTTGAAAATATGTTTTTTTATAATAAATTCCAATCAATTTTATCCAAAATCGTGCTTGGCTTGGCTGCATTTTAACAAATGGCCAGCCCTCTCGGTAACTTTGACAGAATAGGAGCGCAAGAACAACAACGAAAATCAACAGGAAAAAAATCAAGCGTCAATGCACTTGCTCTTTTGTGCAATACCACACAACACTCTCTGTTTCTCTCCCACACTCAGTACACGGAACCCTTATGACAACAAAGAAAGTCAAGTGGAACGAACGACTCCGACAGACATCGTCGTATAACAACAAATACAAACAATTGTGCTGTGGCGGCGACATTCCTTAATTTTGCCATCTCTAGTGTGAGGAGAATTGCAACACAAACAATAAAAACAACAACAACAACAACAGCGTGTAATGAGAAGAGTAATGTGAGCCCTACTCCACCTACTAATTACATTGCACATGATACCCGAGTCAATGAGAGACACCCCCGCACACAAAAAACAATTGCATGGTTGACAAGAGATGACTCCACCCCGCCCCTCCTCCACAATTAAATTACGGCACTTGTACACTTTGCAATTGATTGATCTCTTCACTATGATCTCCATCAACAAACACACAAACGAACAAACACATGCACTCTACACTCACTAGCTCATTCTTTCTTTACTCACCCAATAAATGATGCACAGATATGACAAAAAGACTTTTCGATGTCACATTATATTGTCGACATTTCTTGAGAAATTTTAAAGGCATTTTTCAAATGTTTGATGACTGTCCACTGCTCCAGGTTGGTAGAATTTTAGTTGGCGTTCGCTTGTTGTAAGACACTTTTTTTTCGTTGGGAATATTTAAAAGATATCCACAAATTTCACAAAAGAACACACTGCTGCACACAATATCAGGCGCACACAACTCGCGCTACATACATACAGTGGAATGTACGTAGGTACGTAACACTACAAAAAACACTCTGTGGTAGCAAGCTAGCTTTCTTTTACTTTTTGGTAGAATCTCACGTTAGCCAAGCAGCTATTTGTTGTTGGTCTTAAGTTTTGTTGTTGTGTGTTCTATTCTAACTTGAATTCTTGTTATTCTTGGCCAGCGACGAGCGTCACCGAATTCCATTTACATTTTCAACTACTACTACTTTTTTTCGTTTAACGTCAACGTTGTCGTCTGGCTGCGAGTTTTGTCGTCTTCTGGTTTTCTTTACGTGTTTGCTGCGTCGCGTTTAGGTTACAATTTTTTGTGTGTTAGTTTCTTTTTTATGATTAATAATAACTTCCTTATGATTATTAGCTTATTCGTTTCGTATTACTAGCGAGTAATTAAAGGCACTTGTTATAATTTTAGTTAGTTTTCGTAGATACTTTTTTCGTTAAATATCAAAAGAAAGAAACAAAAATAATTTAAGAAGAAAGTGTTGTGGCCAACACAGAGAACCGAGTCAAACTAAATTGTTGCACATACGGCGGCGATGCAGTCTAATTGAAATGACGCCTTCGTAATCGACTGTGAAGTCGTTGTATGAAATTTATGACGGCGTTAGTTTTTACCTGTTGAATGCAGGAAATAACTTGGGGTTTACACCAGACAAATTGTCTTGGATTAGAGTTGTATTTTTCGACGCTGTACGCAAGAGTGAACAATTTTTATACTACGATAAAATGAAAAAGAACAACAATTGATAAAAAGGAAAAAAGGGAGCAGTATATAAATAAAATACGCCTTTTATTGATGCTTTTCCTATTGTCTTTGCAATTTTCGAAACTTTTACGGCACAAAGCCAAATTTTGGTATTTTGACAATGACCTCCTTTGTCTTGTATTTTGCAAACAAAGGGCAAATACGACGTTCATACAGAGACTAAGGTAATGTGTCGTTCCTTCACATGCAAGAATATACTAGTCTTATCATTTTTTTTTCCCAAAATTTTAATCGAAAAATAATAAAATAACAAAGACAAAATATTTGGAAATACAAATCGGAAAGCGCGAAAAATGAATGAAATGCCTGAATTTTCTTTCAAAAATATAATCTAAATAGTTCGATCTTTCAATAACATGGCAAAACTGGCGAATATCTAAACTTCGCGTCCCACAATTAAAGCTTCTTCAATCATTGATTTTGAAAATATTTGGTTTTTATTTTTCAAAACAATAAATACATACACAAAATTGGCAGAAGTCGAGCATACTTAGAAAAATAAATACCTTTTTATTGTACCAAGAATTGCAGAAGGTTCACTTTTTTATTTTACTATGTTTTTTTCAATTTTCGAAAATATAAGGCATTTTCCAAAATGTTTTTCCGGTAAATTATTGAATGTTTAACGTGGAGATACGAAAATGAGTATATCTCCAACTTAGCTCCTAAATTTTCCAAGTCCAAGATGATTTTGACGTAGCCACCAAGGTTGAATTTGGACTAATCAGGCAAGATCGTGGTAGAAGAATACAGGTAGTCGCATCGACACAACTGCTGGGACAATGAACTGTCAAACCAAATTTGGAATTGAAAATCTTGAATGAAAAATTATTGAAATTTGTAAAAATTGCTGAAAATACATATTATTACAACCTCCGATTTGTGTCGTATAAGTAAACATATAAAGATATGCTTATTTTTGACAAAACAATTTAAAATTTTTGACATATGAATGTTCCCAAGAGTTGTTGCAGATACTTATATTCTTCTACCATGGGCAAGATGAAAAATTTGGCTATTTATATGTACAGGTTTAACTTACTGTATATTCCAACAAAATGCAGCACTTATTTATCTTTTGGTACGCATTTGAATTTGGTACGCTATATATTAACAATGAAATAAGAAAATAATTTAATTAATTTAAAGTTTGGCGTGAAAAAAATCCACATAAAAATCAATGTTGCAGAATTTAAGTCTTTCCAACAAACCATAAATTGAGCGAAAATCAAGATTTAGCCAAAAAATACAAATAAGATTAGTGGAGCCATAAGATTTAAGGAACTAGTTCAACGATAATGTCACAGTGAAGTGAATATTGATAATGAACAAATCAATGCAGCTATGAACTCAATTTACATAAGGCAAGTTTAATTGCGGCAAGTCTATATTTGTATGAGAAATGGAGGTAAAACGAATGGAAATTTGAAAATGGAAAAATTTTTGGCAATTCCTTTTGTGTTTTTATTTTTAAGCTGCCCTCAGACACACCAACAGTTGGCCCAACTTATCACTTTTAAGTTGTATGAAAAAGTTGGTCGGTCTCCTCGCACGTACCAACTGTTGTACCAACTTTTCATTTACAAAGTATTTTTGAAGCGTCAACATGAACTCGGATGCTCTTGCGCTACTTTGAATTGATATAATTTTAAAGGAAGAAGAAGAAAGATTTATTATTATGTTTTGTTTTCGTTTCTCTTCTTGCGCTCTGCGCTCAGCTTATGTATGTGCTGCTTCACCAAAGTTAAGACATAAATGAAGAAAACACTGAAGTCGGTACAACTTGCCCTCGCACGCACCAACAGTTGGCCCAACTTACGAAATTATCAAAAATTTTTGATATTTCCAACCAACTTTCGAAAAAGTTGTACAACTAGCTCTCAGACGCACCAATAGTTGTACCAACTTGTCACAAGTTTGGCCAACTGTTGGTGTGTCTGAGGGCAGCTTTAAACAAAAATATGAACCACAATGCCAGAAAAAGCTTAAATGAACAAAGAACATATAAACATATGATTTTTTAAGAGCTATAGGAAAGAAAGAAGTTTTGGTATATCACAAAAAAATGCTTAAATTTTGTCTTCCAATATGTCATAAAAAGCTTGAAGTTATGGCTAGGAATATTAATGTCAAATTATAATGCAAAACGACGGCAGAATTTTAGTGCGGTTCTGTAACCCCTTTATAGAATGTCACAAAATATGCCTAGCCATCACTTCAAGCTTCTTATGTACTTACACCTTAAGCTTTAATATAGTCCCACAAAACTCTTCAAAAGACGTTAAATCCCACGATCTAGGTAGCCATTGAGCGGTTCATAGTTTGAAATAGTTCTCAGAGCTCGGCTCTTAATAACTACATTGCTACGCACTTTGTGTGTCAATCAAGCTCTTGCACATGGAATCATGGTAGAAGAATACAGGTAGACGCATCGACGCTTATGAGCATTGATATGTCAAAAGAAGTTAATGTTTCTTCAAAAATAAGTAGATTTGTATATGTCTTCCTATACAACTCCATTCGGAGGTTTTTATGATATGCATTTTTTAACAATTTTTACAAATTTGAACTATTTTTCATTTAAAAATTGGTTTGGTTCATTGAACGAATAATGAAATGAGTTCAAGGGAATGAAGACATTTAACTAGTTCCTTTAGTCTTATAATGTGAACTGTTATATTTGAACTAACGTTACTTGTCATTTCCCCTCAATGGAGATGAGATCAAAACAAAACAACTAAAAAAATAGATACGAAACGAAATATAATACGCAAATACGAGCAGAACAAAACAAGATATAGAACAACAGCAACAACTCAAGTCAAAACAAAACAAAATTGCTTGCTTGTATTTACTCTGACGTCTCTGGGCGCACAACACACAAACAGAGCAGAGCAGAGATACAATAGAGAAATAGAGAATTGAGTACATAAAAAAACCGAACAAAATCAAACAAAAGAAATATAAACATTTTAAAAAGTTGATTGTTTTTTAGTTCAGCAGTTGAAAAAGTGCAGTTGAAAAGTGAAGTTTATTAAATAGAGAAATCTAAAATAAACGTAAACGAAAAGCAATTAGCAATTGAAGAAGTTCTGTGACAGCTGAGAAATAAAAAAATTATTGCAAAATTGTAATAAAAATAAAGAAAGTATAACGAAATATAGCAAAGCAAATCGAAGCATTATTGTGAAATCTGTTGAGGCGATTTGAAATTGAAAGTAATACAAAAAAAAAAAAAAGAAAAGTGTCCAGTAGGAAGAAGAACCAACAATGTCTTCGAGCAATACCAACACAACTTCATCATTGTCATCGTCCTCCTCTAAGGCAGGCTATGAAATGAATTTTAATCAGGATTTTACGTAAGTTTTATCTTCCAGAGCTATCAATTGTGAGACGCTGTGTACATACCTTCATATAATCTATTTTCCAGTTCTTACAGTTTGTTGATGATTTCAGATTTCTTAGTAGTGTGACCTTGATATTTGTTAAATATGTATATCGCTGTCATAGTTGTTATTGTTGTTGTATGTATGCGAATTTGGATTTATGTGAATCTACAACAACAGCTTAAGGTTATTACGTTGCCATGCATTGCTGCTGCTGTTGTTTTTGTTATTTTGTAACCCGAATCTACTTGGAAGAGTATTGGGTAAGGGTGGAATCGGAAGCAAAGTAACTGGCTTTACTTCACCCCCCCTCCCTCATCTCATCAACATTTGTCTACAAATGGATAACATTTCAAAATGGTTTTGGTGGAGGAGATATAAGTGTCCTATATGCGGTTTGTGAAATCACCCCCACTTTTTGTTTGCTCGTCATAGGTCATTAGGGGTGATTCACCTGAATTGTTTAAAACCGACAAATGCCTAGAAAAGAAGGGTAGTAGTTGAAATGAATATTATGAACCACATTGTGTCAATGTCAGTTCCTTTTAAATAACTACCGGTTTGACTATCTTGACGAGAGAAAGAAGGATTGTAGCAGAAATTTAAATAAAGTTACGGGGATTTGGTCTAAAAATAATGTGGCTAATATTAGATGTGAGATACATTTAGATCCAACCGCTATGGCTACTCTAAATAGATGATGGCTATGAAACATTCCATGGGCCGAAGAAGCCGTGTGAAGTCAAATAAGATTGTTACTACGTCTTCTTTAGACTGGAAAATCCAAATAAGGTTTACTATAAAGGTATATCAATCTCGCATGAGATCTTCTTTATAAAAAATTCCTTTATTTGTTCGATATTCCATAGGAGGTCTTCTATAGATATAATGTCCCGTGAGGCTTCTTTTGAGAACATCTAAGCCAGAAAATCTCTGTAGATGAAAAGAGGTATAGTGAAGAGGATTTTATCAGAATAATTTCTCCAAATAATAATAATAATCATTTGAGAGCATCTAAGCCAGAAAATCTCTGTAGATGTAGAAGAGGTTTATATCAGAATAAATTCTCCAAATAATGAACATCAGATTTCGTTGGAAATATATTCAGATCTTCAACGATTCTAGATTTTTAAATGGTTATACCCTACAAGACATAGTGGTAAGGGGTATTATGGCTTTGGGCATTTGTTTGTAACATGGAGAAGGCAGTAAGATAGACCCATATGTACTTTTGAGGATCTTCATAGAATCACTTTTTGTGCCGATTTCTGAATGTCAGTCCGTCTGTAAACGTATTTTTGTAAACAAAATGCAGGTCGCATTTATTATCCGATTGAAATGAAATTTTCCAAACAATATTTGTTTGACCCAAGGATGAACCCTATTGAAATTGGTGATAATCGGATCAGATTTGGAAGTAGCTCCCACATATATCTTCAACCGATTTCGGGTTAATTGTGCACCAAATGGCCAATATAAATCCAAATGACTTGATTTTTGGTACATCCAACCGAATTCCGTCTAGAAGCAAGTTAATCAAATTTGGAGAAAATCGGTACAGAAATAGCTATAGCTCCCATATATATGGTTCATTCGATTTGGTGTTTAAGTCCCTCACATTCGTAATATGCATTCGATAACAATGATATTTGGTTCTAGATATCTTATAGAGCTCGGGAATACCTCTGTCAAATTTCATCGATATCGGTTCGGATTTGGATATAGCTCCCATATATATCTTCAACCGATTTTGGGTTAATTGTGCACTAAATGGTCAATATCTGTCCAAATGACCTGAATTTTGGCACATCCGCCAAATTCAGTCCAGAAGCAAGTGCATTAAAGTTCGTGAAAATCGGTTTAGATACAGCTATAGCTCCCATATATATGTTTCATCCGATTTGGTATTTATGCCCCTCACAGTCGTAATATGCATTCGACACCGATGATATTTGGTACCAGAGATCTTATAGAGTTTGGAAATACATTTGTCAAATTTTATCGCGATCGGTTCAGATTTAGATATAGCTCCGATATAAATCTTCAGCCTATTTCGGGTTAATTACGCATTAAATGGCCAACGTCTGTCCAAAAGTCTTAAATTTTGTCACATCCAACCGAATTCAGTCCAGAAGCAATTACATCAAATTTGGTGAAAATCGGTTCAGATATAGCTATAGCTCCCATATATATGGTTCATCCGATTTGGTGTTTAAGTCCCTCACATTGGTAATGTGCATTTGACAACAATGATATTTGGTTCTAGATATCTTATAGAGCTCGGGAATACCTCTGTCAAATTTCATTGAAATCGATGATTTGGATGTAGCCCTCATGAGATAAAAAAGACTGCAACAAAGCAAAAAAATGTCGGAAAAAGCATCAAGTTTTAGAATATGTCTAGAATTATGGCCTTTAAACTGCCAATGAAACCGCCACACGCTGCCCGAATGTTGCTCTGTGGTATTTTGGCCCATTCCCGGCGAAGCGCTTGTTCTGATGCCACAGTCAATAAATACGAGCGGAGAGCGACCATCGGCTGTTATGGCTCTTGAGTTCTAGTGGCCAACCGAAGGTGTATATTTTCAGCTGACCTCAAGCAAAACCTGTCATTTTGTTTGTTTACAAAATGCTGGACAACGAATATTTTCTCATCGGAGAACGGAGAAAACCAAATTCGGCAGTTCACCACCTTCGGCCAAGCGAATTAACTCTTTAGCTCTTTTGAGTCTATTTTATTTCTGTTGCGTTGTAAGTTCTTGCACTTTTTGGAATTTCAATGGCTTTACCCCGAGCTCATTTTTCAATATTTGCCGAATGGAATATTGCTATATGTACAGCACACGAGCCATTTTTCGGCCACTGCGACGCGGGTTTCGATCAAGTCGCTTCTTTACTTTTCGAACCATTTCTGCTGATGTTGCTGTTTTCTTCCGTCCACTTCTTTGATGACGTAAGGCTACACTACCAATATCACGGTAACGAGCGATGGTACGAGATACCAAAGATTTATTCACATTTAAATGCTTGAGTGCTCTAACGATAGCCACTTGTAGGTTCCCAGCCAAATATAAAGATTTCACGCTATCACGCTTGAATTCCGAATAACTTTTTTTTTCACCAAAATGCTTTTGTACGATTGTAAACAATATAATGAGCTTTCACTAGAATAATTTTAACAGCTGTCGGATGAGTGGCTTAGAAATGACAGCAGTCTGAAGTTGCTTGCAGTTCTTTCATCTCATCCTGTATACGGGTCTTCACTCATTAGATTCCATAACCCAATTAGGCCTCGAATAGATACAACATCATATATGGCTTTATACCCCCTTTTTCTGACCACCAAGTACCATTGGATATATACTTTGAAAATTCCACAGAAAATGTTTAAGGAGGCCCACAAAAATTGCAATAAGTCAAATTAGAGATATTTCAATTGGCAACGGTCTCCATGAATAATGAAGTGACTATTGGATATGACTCTACCTACAGCTGATAGTTGTTACAAGCTAATAAATATTACTTCTTCCATTTCCAGTTAGACACCATCCAAAAAATGTAACATTGATTTTATTACTTCTTTCCACCTCCTTATGACAATAACTGCCATAATTAATTTTTTGTGTAAATATTTAATATTTGTTTTTTTGTTTTGTTTTTTCTTTTGTTTTTTTTTTTTATTTTTCAAGAGTGGAATACTCAATATCGTCGTTATTTAACAGCATTTGTTTGAATAGCTTTCAATGAAGCTTGCTTGCTTGCTTCTTAAATAATAATTATTATTATTATATTTTTGTTTGCCAATTGTCTTGTCCAGCAGCTTTTCAAACATACCTACATACTCTGGTGGCTCTGATGTATGTATGCGAGTGGCATTGCATTTTTTTTTTGCTGCCAATATAACAAACAAAGGTTTCTTTTCTAAACAAGCTGTGTAAAATATATAAGAATACTTGGGGCAAAGAAATAAGTTTTTGTAATGGATTTTGGAAAAGGTAACGGAAATCGAAAGCTATGGAATATTTACAGAAAAGTGTTTGAAATTAAAGTTCGTCTCTTTAATGGAATTTCGTTGTAAGTTTTAATTAAAATTTTGGTAATTTTCAAATTTTAAATTTCACTTTTTTCATTTTCTAGCCCCTAACATAGAAGTGACATAAATTTGGACTCACTGTCTAGGCATGGTTTGGCGGAATCATTATGCTCTACATTTCTTTTAAGAGTAACAATCATCCACTTAGGCCATACTCTAAGATTTTCCAACAGCAAGTTGATATATCGCCAAATAATGGGTTTAAAATTGCAACTTGGCCATTTTCTGGGCACGAGTTTGAGAATATAATTGGTTTGGCCCCACTGTCCAGGAAAAGCGTGGCATGAGTCACAACAATATGTATTTTTGGAAAGAGCTTCAAATATGCTTCTAGATCATGTCCTCAAATATTCCAATGATATCTTAATATACCTGCAAATAATGGGGTGTAAATTGCAAGCTGATAATTTTCTGATCAACTGCTCAGAATTGAAAATTGAACCCACTGACCACGAATGGAATGCGTCTACATGGAACATATTTTTGGAGAGGGTATAAAAAATACTTCCAGAACATGCTCCGTTTGGTTAAATTGAAATTGCGAAATAGAAGCAAATAATTGGTTTTAAATTTCAAATTGACCAGTTTCTGACAAACAGCCCCCTTAGTGAAATTGGTTTGGACTTACTGTGCCAGAACGGCTAGACATGAGTCAATATATTATGAATTTATGGAAAGAGCATCAAAAATGCTTCTAGGCTACGTTTATATTAAATCTATTAACATATTCATAAACAGCCAAAGAATCATGTTAAATCTGGGAGTTGGTGTTTTTTTAGGCCAACTTTCCTGAAGTAAAATTGATTTGGTGTCACAGTTCCGGAACGGTTCGGCATAAGTCACTCTGGTATTTATTTTTGTACAAACAATTAAAAATACT